AGCTTGCAGGAGGTACTATTTCTTGGCAGTCCAGATTGCAAAAGTGTGTTGCCTTGTCCACTACAGAGGCAGAGTTTATTGCTATCACTGAAGCGTGCAAGGAAATGCTGTGGTTGAAGAGATTCTTGCGAGAACTTGGCTTTACACAAGAGAGTCATAAACTACTTTGTGATAGTCAAAGTGCTTTACATCTTGCTAAGAATCAAACTTTCCATTCTCGCTCAAAACACATCGATGTGAGGTATCATTGGATACGTGATGTATTGGATGCTAAGCTGTTGGAGTTAGCAAAGGTGCAAACTGATGACAATGGTGCTGATATGCTAACCAAGGCATTGCCTAAATGGAAGTTTGATGTTTGTTGTGAGATCGCCGGGCTGGCGATCACCTCCACATAGTCGTGAGGGGGAGATATGTTGGGTTTTGGGCTCACTTCTTTTGTGGAGGCCCAAGTAAAGCCCAATTCTTCACAAGCCCACTCTTTGATGAAATAAGAGGTTAACAAGAGGTGGAGTTAGAGACAGAGAGCAGAAAACGAGAGAGAGAGCAGAAAAATCGAGAGAGAGAAGGAAGCTGTTCATTTCTCGGATTTGTGTGCGCAGCGTTTTTCAGACTGATGTTTGGAGGGTCAAACGGTGTCCGATTGTTCTGAAATTTTAGGAGCAGGTTCGGGACACATTGAACTTGATTTCCACCGGTCAGTTTTGGATTTGGAGGTCTGCAGGCTGAGATATTCGAATCTGAACAGAGGCAGTATTTTCTGGTTTTTCTGCATATTCTCTAGTTGTTTGCTCCTTGTTGTGGCAGTATATTTGCAGTATCTTTATACTGATTTCAACCTTTGTTTGAGACACTCTTGTACCCTATTTCTGGTCATAGTGGAGCTTGCTTGGTGGTCTTTGTGACCCGTGGTTTTTACTCTCGATTTGAGGGGTTTTCCACGTAAAAATTCTTGTGCATCCTCTCTTTATTATTTGTGCTTATTTGCTATTAGCTTGTTGCTGTTTTTGATCCTCTTACTCTTGCAAGTGGGGAATTAGTATTTGGTGTGGTTGTATTCTCTTCTTAATTCCCATCACATCCTTCTCAAGCACAAAAGCAACGACGAAATCAGTGGAAAGGGAAGGACAATGAAAGGTACGGACGGGAAGAGTAGGTGTGGGATGTGTCGTATTGTTCTCGCCCCTTGTGGTTGTGGTCATATATAGGTATTCTTCTTTGTCATCTTTTTTCAATTTAATTTAAATTTTTAGATTCGAATTCCCTACTTTTCGAGTTTATGGATTTAGATTTTAGAGCTTAGGAATTCTTTACAATTTTGAGTTTAGGGATTTTGATTGTTTAGAATTGATTCAAAAAAGAACTTCACAATTTGATTCCAAGGACTTGGATTTCTAATTGTATTGTATTGGTTTAGGGATTTAGATTTGAATAGGTTTAAGTTTGTATTGGTTTCAATATTTCTATTCTCATGAATGTTGTGGGGGGAAAGGGAGGTTGCTATCTAAGTAAGCAATAGATTAGTGCCACACATATGTGCATACTCTCATGTGCAGGGCGTGTACCTAACTCCAAAAGGTTGAATTTGGAATCAGTTGGTGTTCATCTTGATAAGGTTGGAGCTGTGAAGGTAATTATTTTCTACCCTAGATCAGTTTTCTTCATTTTCTACTTCCAATATTTTACGTTGTGCTTAAAATGGAAGGAATTGAAAAATGGATCAATAAACTTGTACCCTCATAATAGTGACTATCTTTGGAAGCCTGGGATGATTTTTTCAGTAGGTACCCTATTTGATTATGTGATCTAATTTAAGTTTATTTTCAGGCTGATGAGTTTTCTCGCACTTATATACCCAGGATATGGGCTATTGGTTATTTCAGTCATGTCACTGACAGGTGAATCTCACTCATGTTGCTTTAATGTAAGAAACCTACTTTGTGGTATATCTTTTATTTGATATTCATTAGTATCATTTTTTTAAATACAAGATACATTGCTTGAGACTCTAATTAGTTTATTACTGTTTCCTTAGAAGAATTGATGTTCTTTTTCCTTCTTTGCAAAAAATTGCTTTTGGTGAAGTGCCCACAAAACCTGACTATACAAATATTCGTTGTGTTGTATTATGGTATTTCCATTTTCTACAACATTCTGCATTGGCTTACCTTTTACCTCATAAACTACTTTTCAATTCATAGTAATAAACAAGCTGCTCTAACCTTATATGTCATTTGAAGGGTCTAGGATAGTATAATGTATTGTTCCAAGTATTTGATTAAGGTAGGAGAATTTTATAAAAAAAACTTTATGGTCATGTCATCAGGGAGTCAGAGAGTTGTATTGGAAGTACAACTAGAAATCCTCTCGGATACAACATGTTATTTTTGGAGGCTAACTTGATGATACTTAATATGTACAAATGTACAATGTATCATTCTCCCAATAACACCCAACTATTTCCACAAAACTTTACAAGAGCTGGCATATTTTAATTTGAAAAAATGAAGTTACTTTACATTTAATTTAATGTATTTTTTCAAAAAATGTCCCAAACAAGTTAAATGTTTTTAAAATCTACCAACCCGACAATTATATTTTAAAATGTAGCCGGGGTTGGAGATTGCGAAAGTGATTATGAGCTCTTGGGATTTTGGGTGATGGATTTTGGCAAATTGGAGGTCAATGTGTATGTCGTTATTGTATATCTCCGACAATCGAAGTACAGATTCGCCTCGATTCAATAACCTTTGATGGGCGTTCTTTTGGATTTCCGATCATTTTGGTTTTCTCTTTCAAGGTATGAAGATGGAATCCAACTCCATTTGAATTATCTTTTGATTTGAGGATTTTTGGGTTACAAATTCACTATTCCTTACGAGACTTTGGAGGATGATCTCCGCTGGTTCTTTTTGCCAACTTTTGTGGAATCCTGGTCGGTATTTTGAGGACATGATGATACTACTATTTGTTTTCCGCTCCAACATACTAGTTTCTCTCTTTATTTTTGTGTTTGGTACTATTCTGGTCTACATTTGTTCTTCCTGTGGAGACACTGCTTGGGGCTTCACTTGTTGGCCTCGTCCATGATTGTTTGTACTATGGTTGAACTCTGAACTTGAGGTTGTTACTAGAACTTTGGGATTTACACGTCTGAACCCCCTTCACAGCTGAAGATGGTGTTGTTGTCCTTGTTGAGTCTGTTTTGCAGTTTTTGAGCTACTGTTTGTGATGCATGTGTACAAGACTTGTCTAACACTTGTTGGCACTGTGTGTTACAAAGGAATGATGATGCTTAGCACTTTTGGACATGGTTAGGCTGGAATTCTCACTGCCAAGCTGGTAGATTCCTTGCTGGCAGACCTGCCTATTTGTTGGGACGTTTGTTCCTTGCTGCATGTGGTGGACACCTCTGATAGTGATTTTTGAGCTTCTTTGGGATGTAAATTGAAGTAGGAGCTAGGTGAGCTAACGCTGGTTCTTCTTAGCAGATTATCCAATTGGTGGCATTTATGTTCACAAATGATACCATTAGAGTGTGGTGCTGTGTGAATTACCTTTTAATTGCTATTGGGACTATTTTTGACACTTGTGATTGTAGTTCTTTCTCCTGGTGGGAGCCTTGCTGTGGTCTTCCTGGGCCTCTGGGGGGGGAAGGAATTAGGAGGAATCTTTGGGAAACTCGACGGCTAACAAGGTGCCCTGCTTTCTTGTTGCCGATGGGACTGTTTACTTGGTTTATGCCAGTTGGTTTTTCTGGTTTCCTTGCCTATCTACTTGTTGTGACCGGATTTGAGAACTATGGGCGATAGTGGATGAAGGCATAAAGGACAACTGAGCAATCTTGTGCCTAGTCTCTTCTGAGGATAATTGCCAATTCCATGTCACTGTCGTCTCCGAATGGATGAGTGTGGTACTCGGCTTAGTTTGGCATTCAAGTTGTCCTCTTAGACGCAGGTGCACTACTCCTTGAACCTGAGGCACATCCCATTTCACCTGTTGATGGATATTGAACCTTGTTCACTAATGGTTGATGGGGCCATGATAGCAACAAAGGGTCTTTCAATGATGATGGATTTATCACTTTGAAGTTTCTTCAGTCATGCTGCCTGCGATTGGGAGGTCGTGGTCGATGTTTTTGGTTGACTTTTAGGACGCTGAAGATTTGGTTGCTAAGTTGTGAGAAGCAAAGGGCCTATCTACAAATTGACCTTGAGAATTGGAAGTTCAATTATGGTAATGCGTAGAACCGGAAGCTTGAAACTTGTTTTAACAAGAGTTGGGACCTAATTGATATCGACTCTATAAGGCCTGAGCACCACGAATTTGTCTACTTTTTTAGCCTTTGTATTGATGTTTTGTTATCCTGTATTGGTTTGCGGTAAATTAGATAGCTTCCAAATTGGTAAAGTTTCATTTCATTTTGTTCATAAAAATTGTCTAAATATAAACAAACATAGTACTCTGTATTATAAAATTATTAAATACAAATAGTAGCATTAGAGCAAATAAGGAAACAGTTTGAAAGAAAATTATAATAATTATACAAACCATGAGATCAAGCCCATATGAAAATGTCATGCATTGTAATTTATTTAAAATAACAACATAGTCTGCTTTTCGTACATCGATTCAGCTTCAACGCCCTCTGAGACCAGTTCCATCCTCGTTAGCGTTCTTACCTACATAAAGTGATGATATGAAAAAGGCTACATGATTGGCGGTAAAGCTAATTAAGTAGCTAGTATCATAATGATAAAACAATACCAAAACACTAAAGAATACGTCTACAAGCTGCATACAGCTACTAATACGGAACCAAAGCCTAAACAAACCCCCAAGATATTTAGCATTATTCATATAAGCATAGACATGGTATTTGATCCAGTGGAGAGTTTCCTCAATCGGAGTAATGACGTTTGTATGTAGGCTAAGTTCCTGATCTTCCGAATATAATATGCACAAGCAGCAAATATTGCTATAATCTTCCTTCTTTTCTTCACCGGGTTAAAGCTCTGAAGTCGTTCACAATTGTTTCCAATGTTGTCCACCTCAAAGTGATAATGACTCCGAGCATAGATCCTCATATACAACTCCTTAGTATAGGGGAAAATACAAAAGATCAGAGATGGTGCATGTCTTCCTCTTTGGAAAAGTAAACATTGAGTATCAACTAGAAACAATTTATTTAGCCTGCTTTTTTCAGAAGTTTGTTCCTAGAGATAAGCAAAAAAAAAACAAATTTGTGTTTGGGGATGGAGAACTTATTCCAGACCAGTTCCGACCAGTTAACTTCCTGCTTATGCCCCAATAGCCATTGATATCCAATCTTTGGATTGTAGGGAACAAATTTATCCATATCCAAAAGCAGCCTCTAGTTTGTAGAATCTTTTTCCAATAGAACCAAGCATCTCTTCTATGTTGGCAATCCCAAATAGTACTATTCTTTATGTATCTGTTATGGATACATTTGATCCATAATACCTCTTTGTCAAAAGAAATATCCCACTCCAACTTCATAATAGTGGATTTAGTCTAAAGAGTCAGATTTTTAAGGCCTATACCCCCATATTTATTAGGCAAGCAGGTGTTATCCCAAGTTACCAAAGGAAACCTCTTGTGACCTTGAGAAGATCCCCACAGAAATTTTCTACAAAGAGATTGAATCATCTTCATGACCATAGCAGGAATAATAGTCTACCTTAAAAACCAATGACTCCATAAAGGACAAAATTAATCAACTTCACCTTGCCACCATATGAAAGGTTTTTAGAGAACCAAGTAGTAAGTTTCACAGTCATCTTATCAATGAGTTTTTCACAATCTTTTGTGTTAATTCTGGAAGAAGTAATGGGATCTCCAAGATATATAAAAGGGAGAGGGCCTCTTTTTCATGTTGGTTAAATGAAGCCTGTCCTCCTGATGTTTGTTAACCCCTCCAAATATAGCTTCTAACTTAGAAAGATTAACTGAGAGGCCAATAGTACAGGTAAAATGCTCAAGGTAATCATAATATAATAAATTAAATTCTCATAAGCTTTGTAGGATACTATTAGATCATAAACAAAAATTATGTTGATGAGTTTTAGTGTTTTTGTAGAGGGGATGATATCTAAACGTCTCTTTAGTGGCATAATAATATAAAAATCTGGGAAGATATTCAAAGATAAGGACAAATTTTAGAGGGAATATAGGATCACCTTAGCTTGTTTTATGCCTTTTTCTCCTTTGAAGAAGCCAAAGTTCTCACCTCCAAACTGGATGGAGTAGGTGGTACTGGTCACACAGTAATTGATCCAACTGATAAACTTAGAGGGGAATTTGAATTTTGAATAGCTTTACATGTAGCAAACATCTAGGGGAAATATCCTTTCTGTTATATCCCCTTGCTAATTCCTGACAAAGCAAGACATTATGGACTAGCTCTATCCCTTGTATGAAGGCTACTTGGTTCAGATTCACAATGCTTGGCAGAATATTCTTGAGTCTGCCACATGTAATTTTTAGATCACTTTGTAGATTGCATTGCAGCATGCTATAGGCCTAAAATCAGTAGGATTTTTAGGATCTTCATTTTTAGGGATGACAACAATATTAGTGGAATTAATTTGCTTTATAGTGTCCCCTCTATGAAAGAACTCTTATATGGCTTGAGTAATTAGACCACCTACTCTCTTCTATTGATTTTTGAAAGATCCACTACTATAACCATCTTGACTTGAGCTTTTGCTATTAGGGATTTTAAACAAGCAATTCTTGATCTCTTCAGGAGGAATTGGTGAAATTAATGATAGTTGCTGGTCAATTGATAAGGTTTTGCCCATATAGACAATATCAATATTAATATCCTCGGTCTCCACTGTCTTCCCCAAATTGTTTTTGGTTATACTCAACNCCCCCCAACTATCACTCCATCTGCTTTGGTTATAGAAGTCAAATGGTTTTGGGACCTTCTCTTCTTTATCCATGCACGAAATAATTTAGTATCCTGGTCCCCATAAGTGACCCAGTCAGCTTTGGATTGCTAACTTTTCATGAGAAAACAAGCTTTAAGTTTCGGATGTAGCTCCTAGGTTAAATTTTTTCCAGTGGTTGCATCAGATGTGGTATTCCTCATATTCTCATGGACAATGTGTGGTTTGGTTTTGATCTGATCAACTTAAGAGTCCAGGTTTTAGAATTTCCTTCATCCGAGCTTCTTTAGAGGGTTTTTGGGGTGTTTGAGTTTTTGAATAACCCGACGATGCATGTGGTGTCTCTTGTGTTCCAGATCCCAAAATTCAACCACCAAAAGAGAAAACTGAGGATTAAGGATCCACATGCCACAGAACCTAAAGGTAGTCCACAATTGTGTTGTTTTTAATGTTTTGAGGAGAATATGAGAGTGATCAGAGATACCCCCTCTCTTTAAAATACACCTTAAAGTCAAACATGACCATCTAGTCTATATTGCCCAAAACTCTAACTAGTTTTGAGTGGATTTTATTATCTATCGCTTGGTTGTTTGTCCAAGTGAATCTGGACCCTTCAAAAGGTAGATCATCTAAACCATAGTTATTTAGGCAATCCTTAGAAAGTCTAGTCTCCTCCCAATTCACAAGCTTACCAAAATTCTCTCATCCAAGTGCACTACACTATTGAGATCACCCAACACACACCATGCAGCCGTTGTGACTAGCCTTTGTATTGTATCTAGACCTGGCAATCGGGTCAATCGGTTCGGTTCCGGTTCGGGTCTCATTCGGATATATGTTATAATCGGTTCGGTTGGATCAGTTCGGTTCCGGGTTAATTTCAGTTTGACTGGTTTTCGGTTTCGGTTTGGTTTCGGTTCGGGTTTGTATCGGATCGGGTTTGTATCGGTTCGAGTTTATATCGATTCGCGTTTGCATCGATTTAGGTTTATATTAGTTCAAATATATATCAAATATTTACTAATAAATCAATAATATCACATAATAAATTTAATCAATTTATGATATACTCCGTAGTTATTTTATTATTTAACACGGACGTACATAAAATTTAATTTCGGGTCTAATCGGTTCCGGGTTTAATCGGATTCGGATCTGAATCGGGTCTGGATACATTCGGTTCGGGTTCAGTTCGGGTTCGGATCATTTCGGCTGTTCGGGTCTATTTCGGTTCTTCAGCTTTCGGGTCAAATCGGGTTTGGTTCCGGGTTATTCGGTTCGGGTTATCGGGTCCGGGTCAGTTTTGCCAGGTCTAACTGTATCCCACAACTTTTTGTTTTTATCGGGGTCATTCTTCGTGTACACAAAAGTCAAGAAGAACTCTCTATTATCCCCAACAAATCAATGTTCACAATGAACTACTTAGTCAGTAGACTCCAGAATCTTAATCCTGACCTCATTCTGATTCAAGATAACCCAAATTCTACCAAAAGCGTGAGCATGATTATCGGAGAAAGAGCCCCATCCCCTAACCATTCTGTCTTCAACCTCTTTGAACTTACTATCTCTTATTTAGTCTCTAAAATACCAAATAAAGGCATATTACACTTGTTATATATACTCATGATTTCTATAATGCTCTTTTTGAAAATAAAAGGATTGGGGAAAGAAAAAAAGATAAAAAAGATTGATAGTACTACTTATACCAGTAAGGTGCATCTTCTTTTCGCGAGCTTATCACTTAGAAACTCCAAAATTAAATGTGCTGGACTTAAGATATTCTATGATGGGTGACCTTCTGGGAAGCCTACAATCCTATGAGCGGACGCTTACGGCTAGAGTGGGGCTAGGGTGTTACAATTTCATCTTGTTTTCGAGCACCCAATCATAACAAGAAGGAAAAATGGACCTCATATGGGGTTGGACTTTTAGTCTATGTAAAATTTCAATGAAATCTGGTTCATGTCCTTCCAGTGATCTCCTTCTTGCAGACTTCCTTTTATTAACTTCTATAAACCCTGAATAAATTGTTGGAGGGTTCATCACTGGAAAACATATTTTTAGCACTACAAACTTCACTAGATTAACCCTCATCTGGTGTTCTCTCTTTGCTATCTTACTATCATCATCTTTTTCCTCCTTAGGTGACTCAGTGCCCTGATGTGAAGAAGGAACATAAGTAAGTTTCTTGTTTATCCCATGTTGTGTTACTTTTGGCTTCCATATAGTTTTCCTCTTCACTGGTCCATCAGTATAATTAGGTTTATTTCTCATTCTACACATTTCAACTACATTCCCAATCCTATCCATACTTTATTTAAAAAGACATGGAGTCAATATTGCGTTTTCCCGCCCAAAGATTATGGCCATTATATATGGTAATGTGAAGTTAAAATGGTAAGTGTCCGAAATTATAGTAATATAAAATTTACGTTTTATAAATATAATTATTATATTAGATTTGTAAAAATTAAGTGTCAAAATTATTTAAAATTACCATTTTTAAAGTAAGGAAATAAAATCCGGAAATTACC